TGTCTGCTTGATACAAAAGTCATACAAATGGCTAGAGCATAGAAACCAGAAGGTGCTGAGGTCCAGCCCCAGCAGGTCCAGGGGTTCCCAAAGGATGAACGGCATTGGCGAAATAACAAATGGACACAGACAAAAGCAGTGCGTTAGACTGGCTGCTTTATTGTGGCAAACGTGTCATTATATTTGTTAGCAATTTCCTGGTAGCGTGCATCATCTATGTTTCTTGGCGTTACCTAATTCTAAAAATGTTCCTTTGTGTAAGCACCCATTAAGGAACATTATGTTTATTTTCCTGTTATGTTCCCTCCTGCCCTTTTGGTTATAGATTAATTTCTTCATATTACTTTCATTATGTATCTATGTTTATTTATAGTCTGTAAAACGTTTGCTTTGCTATTTGCATGAAAGGTCATCTAGCGCTCAACACCTCAAGTGGAACGTTTACAGGGACATGACTTCTTTTTTATTTATTTATTTTATTTTTTAAAAATCTTTTTTTAAATGTTTATTTATTTTTGAGACAGAGAGACAGAGCATGAATGGGGGAGGGTCAGAGAGAGGGAGACACAGAATCTGAAGCAGGCTCCAGGCTCTGAGCTGTCAGCACAGAGCCCGATGCGGGGCTCGAACTCACAGACCGTGAGATCATGACCTGAGCTGAAGTCAGACGCTTAACCGACTGAGCCACCAAGGTGCCCCCAAAATAAAATACTTAGAAAAAATAATGGTTGATTAAAAATACACATTTATCTCTTGATTTTCTCTAAAACTCTATTCAAGAGATGGTAAAAACATCCCACAGAGCAGAAACCCACAAAACCAAACAGAAACAGAAAAGAAGCTATCAGCAGACCGTGATGCCAACAAATTTTAGAGAATGAGCAGTATAGGCAGAAATGCAAACTTGTGTGAGAGACTTGATAAAGAAGAAAATGAGGCCCAGTGCAGAAATACCTCTGTGTGTGCTGGACCCTCCGGGAAGGCCGAGGGAAAAGAAACCCCACATATTTTTGAATATTTTGAATAACTGAGGAAGAGGATGTTGCCTGTGTTGGTACATGCGTGTATGCCTGCATGCACACACGTGTGTGTGTGTGTGTGTGTGTGTGTGTGTGTGTGTGTGTGTACTGATCGTATTGGCGCATAGGGAAGGAAAATAAGTGGACCGCGAGAGAAAATTCATAAGGAACAGAACAGCCACGCACTCCACGGCCCTTTATAGCAAGCAATGATCACTTTCTAAACTAGCAGAAAATTGGAAGTTGATTTTTGAGGAATTGAGAAGAGCACATAAAAAATTTCCTTCCAAATCTGTGTTATAAGCTTTCTGATTTTTGCTTATCAGTTATGCTTTCTTTTACTTAAAAAATTTTTTCCCTTCCTCCCTCTAACCCCACTGTAACCACTGATCTTTTTACTGTACCCATAGTTCTGTCTTTTTCAGAATGTCATATAGTAGGTATCAAACAGCATGCAGCCTTTTCAGATTGGCTTCTTGCACCTAGAAATACGCATTTCACTTTCCTCCCATCTTTTCATGGCTGATGGCTCATTTCTCTTTTTTTTCATATTTCTTTAATAATTTCAAACAATGATTTTTAGAATTAGAGTAAATCCATATACTCGTGTATCTATGTTGCTAAATTGGATTGAACTTGGTCTATGATATTTTTACCTACGAAAATAAGTATTTCCTTCAGTGATAATGATAATTTCAGAATGTTTTGTGTTATGGACTGGATGTGTTCTGCCAAAATTCATACGTTGAAGCTCTAGCCCCCGGTGTGATGGTATTAGGAGATGTGGCCTTTGGGAGGTAATTAGATTTAGATAGGGTCATGAAAATGGGACTTCCATGATGGGATTAGTGTCCTTATAAAAAGAGGAATAGATATGAGAGCTTCTTCTCACCACCAATTGAAGGGGTCTATCTATAAGCCCTAAGGAAGGAGCTCACCAGGAACTAATCTGCCAGCAGTTTGATCTTGGACTTCCCAGCTTTCAGAACCGTAACAAATATCTGTTGTTTAAGCAACACAGTCTATGGTGTTTTGTTACAGCAGTCCTAGATGACTAAGGCATTCTGATAAAACAAACTTTTTTTCCAAATATTTCTTAAATAGTTTAAATTACTGTAAAGATATTTTAATTCATATACCACTGGCTGAAAAATCCTTTATTCTGTGGGAATCTTAAGGCTGACCTTTATTTCCTTAGACTTCTGTTTTTAAAGTTATTTAGACATTAGGTGACAGCTCATTTCTTTTTAGCACTAAGTTTCCATTGAAACTTAGTTTGGACATACCATAGTGTATTTACCCATTCTTCTACTGAAGGACACCGTGGTTAGTCAAGCGAGCCAGGCATATTATACAGATAGCGAAGTTGGGGTGGGCAGAAGAGGAACAGTGTGTAAAGTTCATCTCAGGTTTTCAATTCTGCCATTCCATATAAACTTCAGCAGACATCTAGAGTCTATAGCTCTATAAATCCATGATGAAGATAATTCTTTGAGCACAGGTACCAGGATAGGAATATTTCTGGGCATTATAACCATGGAAACTGAACAAAAAATATCCCATTATCTGCTTTCAATTTTTTGACTGTTATGATTAAAATTCCCTAGTCCAACTGATAAGAAAATTATTTCAATACCCCCACTATCCTACCTTTTCATATATCTTGGCTGAGAGTAGAGTGAACAAGAATGAAGAGAAGAGATAAAAATAAGGAACAAAAATATAGTGCGATATTTACTTTGATCGGCAACATGGGGCCTGGCCAGAATCAGCTGTGTGGGTGAGGGGGGGGGCCCAAAAATTGCACAGGAAAGGTACAGAGCTGGAAATTAAATCAGAGTGAACGTTTTGTAGACATCCTATTTTTTACCAACTAAATTCTGGTTGGAATCATTTTCTATTTTGTCTTTCTTTGTTTCTAGAACTTTGCTGATATCAAGAAACTGTATTTACTTCTGTAATACACTAGTTTTTCTTTATCAGTATTTTTATACAACTGAATTTTTACATTGTCTGCCAAACTATTCAATTTGGGGAATGGAGCCACTCTTCAAGGATGTGTAATTCATTGAGAAACTGACTCTCCAGAAATATCATTCATCCTTCCTCAGTCACAAACCCACAAATGTCTTAGATAACATGTTTTAAGAAAAAAAAAAAAAACCTTTTACAGTCATGTATTGGAAATATCTCCCCTACCTCCTGCACTGTTGGCAAGCACAATTTTGGAGAGATTACTGTGCACAAAGATTACTGTGTATGTGCTCCTTCAAATATGTATTTTTGTATTCTTTGGGGAAATACCTAAGTGTGCAATTGCTGGATCATAGGGTAGTTCTAATTTTAGTTTCTTGAGAAACCTCCATACTGTTCTCCAGAGTGGCTGCACCAGTTTGCATTCCCACCAGCAGTGCAAAAGAGTCCCCCTCCTTTCTCCACATCCTCGCCAGCATCAGTTGTTTCTTGTGTTGTTAATTTTAGCCATTCGGACAGGTGTGAGGTGTATCTCATCATAGTTTTGGTTTATATTTTTTTGATGATGAGTAATGTTGAGCATCTTTTCATGTGTCTGTTAGCCATCTGGGTTTCTTCTTTGGAAAAGTGTCTGTTCATGTCTTCTGTCCATTTCTTTCTTTTTTTTTTTTTTTTCAACGTTTATTTATTTTTGGGACAGAGAGAGACAGAGCATGAACGGGGGAGGGGCAGAGAGAGAGGGAGACACAGAATCGGAAACAGGCTCCAGGCTCTCCATCCACCCAGAGCCTGACGCGGGGCTCGAACTCACGGACGGCGAGATCGTGACCTGGCTGAAGTCGGACGCTTAACCGACTGCGCCACCCAGGCGCCCCTCTTCTGTCCATTTCTTAAGTGAGTTATTTGTTTTTCGAGTGTTGAACTTGATAAGTTCTTCATAGATTTGGATAGTAACCCTTTATCAGATGTATCGTTTGCAATATCTTCTCCATTTCCGGAGGCTGCCTTTTAGTTTTGTTGATTGTTTCCTTCACTGTGCAGGTTTTTATCTTGATGAAGTACCAATAGTTCATGTTTACTTTTGTTTCCCTTGCCTTCGACGACATGTTAGTAAGAAGTTACTGTGGCTGAAGTCAAAGAGGTTGCTGCCTCCATTCTCCTCTAGGATTTTGATGGTTTCCTGTCTCAAATTTAGGTGTTTCGTCCATTTTGAATTTATTTTTGGGTATGGTATAAGAAAGTGGTCCAGTTTCATTCTTCTGCATGTTGCCTTCCAGTTTTCCCAACACCATATGTTGAAGAGACTTTTTTTTCAATTGGATATTCGTTCCTGCTTTGTTGAAGATGAATTAACCATATAGTTGTGGGTCCATTTCTGGGTATTCTGTTGTGTTCCATTGATCTGCGTGTTTGTTTTTGTACCAATACCATACTATCTTGATGACAACAGCTTTGTAAGATAGCCTGAAATCCAGAATCGCAATGCTTCCAGTTTTATTTTTATTTTTCAGGATTGCTTTGGCCATTCAGGGTCTTTCGTGGTTCCATGCAAATTTTAGTATTGTTTGGTGTAGCTCTGCAAAAAATGCTGGTGGTATTTTGATGGAGATTGAATTCATCTTAAACATTTTAAGTGTTGTGTTGTAACTTGAATTCTGAGTCTGATATATTTTTTAAAAACTGATTTCTTAGTGAAATTCATTAGTCTACTTTTATATGACACCTCATTTCTAACAGGCCTGGGAAGAATACACCATCATAGGTTTGGGAAGAAAGAAATATATTGTGCAGAACTTTTCATACCTCAGAAAACAGAAGGAACACATAAATTAGTTCTTGGAGGGGCCTCCAGGGGACGATGCTGCACAAACTAGAGATCTTGTTGCTCAACATCATCTGCTCATGCCACCGCCCCCCCCCCCCCCGCAGCTGGCTGAGCTCTTTGCAGACAGAGACAGGGACAAGAATCATCCGTCAGAAAGCTCCAGGCTCATCTCAGCAGCTTTTGCATTTTTATCTCAGCAAGGAACTTGTCCAAATTTACTTTCTCCACCCTTCTTATGTCTGAGGGCTTGGCTTCCTCAGCCAGTTTCTTGTCTGCTCAGGGGGAGATTTTCCTGAGAAGAGCCACTGCCTTTCTACTGCTCGGCCATGTTCCTGTTGCTTATCTCAACACTGGGGATATTTGCCCTGCGTGAGTAAAATTTCATATTAGTCTATAGTTCTACAGATTCAACTGGAAATACTGACTTTTCATTGTGAAGTGTGCACTGCTTTCACTGACACAACACTGATTTTGCAGGAGACACCGGAGCCCAGTCAGTGACACAGCCTGATGTCCATGTCACTGTCTCTGAAGGAGCCCCTCTGGAGCTGAGGTGCAACTATTCCTATAGTGGAACTCCTTATCTCTTCTGGTACATGCAGCACCCCAACCAAGGACTCCAGTTTCTACTGAAGTACTTTTCAGGGGACACCCTGGTTAAAGGCATCAAAGGTTTTGAGGCTGAATTTAAGAACCATGAAACCACCTTCCACCTGAGGAAATCTCGAGCCCTTGGCAGCGATGCGGCCAAGTACTTCTGTGCTGTGAGTGACACAGTGTCTGGGACTGCAGGGGGAGCTGAACACAAACCACCATGGTAGGGGAGTTTTTGGAGACTGACGGTCTCTTCCTGTGGTATTATTAGAGATCTCTTGCTGTATGATGCCAAATGAGACAAATAGAGCTGAGCAGACTTAGCTATTTCTATATAATTCTATAACTCCATGTGTGATAAACTTAATTTAGCAGGTTTTTGGTCTTTGTAGAAACTACATGATAATAAATAGTATTACAGAATGATGGAGAAGATAGTGTTCTGATCATATAATACCAGGATGCTTAAAGACTGGCCTTGAGGTTGACCGTCTACGAGGTTAACTATATGAGTTTTCATTTATCATTTCTTCTGTCAGCCAACCCAGAAAACAAAACATGAACTCCTCATGTTCTTTCCCTGAAAAGTTTGCCTGCTTGTTTCTTTCATCATTCACAGATCATCTTCTTGGAATTTTTTTCCCCCTAGATCTTACTGTGTTGGTCAGAATGTGTCAGAATATTATCTTTGAGTGTCAATTCCTTTATTTAAGAGGGACTCTGAAAATTTTTAATGTATTTATTTACTTACTTACTTAATTTTAGGGGGTGGGGCATGAACAGGAGAGGGGCAGAGAGATGGAGAGACAGAATGCTAAGCAGGCTCCATATTATCAGTGCAGAGCCCATTGCGGGGCTGGAACTCACAAAGTGTGAGATCATGACCTGAGTTGAAATCAAGAGTTGGACATTCAACCAACTGAGCCACCCAGGCACCCCTTCTTTTAGTAATTTAAATTCTACAAATCTTCACCAGAAATTTGTGGATATAATCTCTTTTGCTGCTTCCAGCTATGGACATTTTTTTTTCTTCTTGCTTTTTCTCCTGTTCTTGTTTGATTTCATAGTTGGAATATTAGAGTTTGAATCTTATATGTTAACAACATTATAATTAATGATGTAGTAATTTTAACAATGCCAAACTCTGCTAGAAATATTGATAAGAATTGCAGTGAATACTAGGTGTCACTGGACCCAGTATAAACTTATAACCCAGTATAAAATTGTTTTGTGTTAGGATGGAAAGAACTGTGTAAGAAGTTTTATGGCCCTTGTGTTCTTGAAGTCTTAGAGATAACAAATACTCTGCAGAAAGGGGAGAAAGATAAAGAGGAAGCTTTCTAGCTGCTTCTTGGTTTATTCTATAATGTGTGAAAAGTGCCCAGCAACCCTCAAAATATAGAGAGACTAAGTAGATCATCACTAACGATACATCAGAAGATCAACGGTAATTTTTAGGATGTGGTGATATGGTTATGTGTAATAAATGTGTTTGAGTGATTGCTGGAAGGGTACAAGGAAAGTAAACGCTGGTGTTGGAGACATAAAATCTGGAATAAGGAACTTGTATTCCTTTAATGTCCTTCCCCTTCCCTCCTTCCCTTTTTATTTTTGGACCATAATCTCTCTACCTCTATTTTCAGGTGACACTATCATCAGCTCAAGTACATTGCCCAAAGGGACTGTGGTGGGCGCTTTTTTCAGATTAGTAGGAGAAGGAGAATTACTAATGTTTTTGATTCCGAACTCAAAGTGAGTTTGAAGAAAAATAGGATTTATATCAAGGACCCTGAGCAGTTGGGAGATCATACCCCCACCTTCCCAACCCTAACTCTACCTGAAAAATCAAAGTACCCTGTCCTTCTCTCTCCCTTTCTGCTTTTATTATTAGTTATTTATATGATTACGTATTTTTTATGTTTATTAATTTTTGAGAGAAAGAGACAGAGCATGAGTGGGGGCGGGGCAGAAAGGGAGGGAGACACAGAATTCGAAGCAGGCTCCAGGCTCTGAGCTGTCAGCACAGAGCCCGATGTGGAGCTTGAACTCATGACCCGTGAGATCATGACCTGAGCCGAAGTTGAATGCTTAACCGACTGAGCCACCCAGGCGCCCCAGGTTACATATGATTTTTATGAGGAAATTTCTACAATAAAGAATTATATTAAGAATAATGTGGGAATCCTGAGTTATTTTATCAAACTAATAATTCTGACTTTTCATGTAATTAGCCAGTCTTACCCCATACCTCAACACTCAGAAGTGGCTGGCCTAATTGAAAGACATAATATCTTACTGAAGACTGAGTTACAATGCCAGTTGGGAGATACACCCTGACTGATGAGACTTTGTTAGTAGAAATTAACATGTGCTTCAAATCAGAGAAATTTATGTTACATTATGCATTACTGTCTTTCACATAGACAGAATCCATGGGCCCTGGAATCAAAACACAGATGTGGAAGTGGGCTTCTCTTACTATTACAGCTAATAACCCACTATCAGACTTTGAGATTTCCATACTGGCAACTTTATGCTATGTGGATTTGGAGATCTTAGTCTTTTTTTTTTTTTTTTTTTTTAATTTTTTTTTCAACGTTTTTATTTATTTTTGGGACAGAGAGAGACAGAGCATGAACGGGGGAGGGTCAGAGAGAGAGGGAGACACAGAATCGGAAACAGGCTCCAGGCTCTGAGCCATCAGCCCAGAGCCTGACGCGGGGCTCGAACTCACGGACCTCGAACTCACGGACCGCGAGATTGTGACCTGGCTGAAGTCGGACGCTTAACCGACTGCGCCACCCAGGCGCCCCTGGAGATCTTAGTCTTTAGGGAAGAATTCTTCTCCCAGGAGACAAAAAAAAAAAAAAAAAAAAAAAAAAAAAAAATCTCTCTACTCAATGGATGATAAGTATAACTCCTGGATATTTTGAGCTTCTCAGTCATTGAACCATAAAGAAAAATATCTATTGGCTGGAGTGGTTGATCTTGATTAACAAGAAGATATTGGGTTGCTTCTACACAATGGAAGCAAGACTACTATGTTTGGAGCCTGTTAGTACTTTCATGCTCAGTGGTGAAGCTTAATGGAAAACTATAGTTACCCAAACAAAACTGGTTGAGGGCAAGGGAAATATAAAGTAGAGATTGATTAAGGAAGCAATAGATGTCAGTCATAGCCTTGTGACAAATTACAGAAACAAAGTTGTAGTACTTTTAAATTTATTTCTTTAATGTTTATTTATTTTTGAGACAGAGAGAGACAGAGCATGAACGGGGGAGGGGCAGAGAGAGAGGGAGACACAGAATTGGAAGCAGGCTCCAGGCACAGAGCCCGACGCAGGGCTCAAACTCACAGACCCTGAGATCGTGACCTGAGCCGAAGTTGGAAGCTCAACCGACTGAGCCACCCAGGCGCCCCAAAGTTGTAGTACTTTTAAAAAGTGAAGTATAATGAACATATAATGTTATATTAGTTTCATATATACAACATATGGATTCAACAATTCTATACATCATTCAAAGCTCACCATGTGAAGTATAGGCAAAGTCATAGTACTTTTGCATATTTTGTAGTTTCTTGTTATATATGTATGCTTATTTGTATGTGCTAAATCTTTCCTGCTACTATCTTTCCCATTTTCATTTTATATACAACCTTTTGGAAATTAACTTTACACTTTAGCTTATAGGTAACAGAATTTTTTAGAGGGGCTCTGAATCTGAAGAGTTATTAATATCATCAGTGATGGCACAATTGTATCCAGGCATCTCCTCATTTTGGGGAAAGGGTGAGAAGTTTTTTTTCACTTGCCAAGAAGGATAGCAGTATCCTGAAGGAGGTAAAAATATTGAATTGTTTTGTTGTTACATGTGTTTCAAATATGTGTAGAAGTTTACATATAGAAGCTGAGTAGTCAAAGGGGTGGGAGAGATTTATTAACTCTCAGCTCCAAATTCATCTTTTGCTTGTTCTTAAAAATAGATTTGGTCCCTTCAAATATTTTCTTTGCCAGTTGGCGCAACTTTAAACTTTTCAGTAGCAAGTGCAGGAAGAGAGGGATTTGTCTCCTTGTCTGTGTTCCCTCTGGCAAGCTCCTGCAGCCTGGGGGCGTCTCCAGCGACCAGCTCATGCCAGCACCTGCACCAGCTTCCTGCAGGGCAGTGTTCAGCAGCACCCAGGGGGACAGCAGCTTCCCTTAGCACCCCCATTTTTAGGTGGGTGTGTAGAAGAATGCCTCCCATAAGACATGTCCTTGTGAACATATTTTCCCAGCATCCCAAAGGACGGTTTTCTGGCAAGTTCTCAAGGGTGGATTTCCAGCAAGGTCCACTGTTACCGCACCATAGTGACTTCTCTGCCATCCAGTGAGCCACAAGTGTGTCTTCTCCAAGGTCTGAGTCTCAGCCCTGGAGTGGATGGGAACCTTTTCCTGCATATTGTATCCCTGAGCAGTGGCTACACTTTACAACCCCTATTCCTGTAGGATTCCTTTTTCCTTCCTACTAGCCATTTCCTTTTTACTCCAATATTCCGTTGTAGTTAATAATTCTTTTAGGTTTCCCCTAGTCAATTTATTGTGCAGTTTCTCTCTCCTGAATGGACCACTTTTGTTCATTCACCAGGACACTCAAGCAGCTGGAGAGCATCCCCCATTTTCTCTTCCCCAACTCTGCCTGAGACGTCAAAGCAGATTCGACTTCTTTACTGTTTTATAGGATTATTATATAAATATGATAAACTTCCCATGATAAAGGATTATGTAAAGGGGATTTTGGAAATATTATATGAATCACTATTGAGTTATCAGTGAATTTAATTTCAATTTTTCCCATTTTGTCTATATTTGACTAGAAATTCATTATAGCACAGAGGCAAATTCTAATCAACTTTGGCAATATTTTATTTTAACTAAAACAAATGATCATTCATTGACTAATGAGAATGTGTCTGGAGATGGTAATTCCTAGTCATATTCTTGCATTAACTCCCTTATCCATCCTTATTTCTGATTTTTTCTGTCTTTTAAATAGGACGGAAAGGCAAAGAGAATATTAAAACAATCTGAAGAAACAATACTCCGTTCACCTGAGCAAGATTTTATGTGTCCCCTTCCAGTCATCCTCTTCCTGACGACAATGACTGCTCTTATTGCTATCACCGAAGATTGATTTTAACTGTTCTAGAACTTTAAATCCAGGAAATCATATGGTAGAGACTCTTTTGTACCTTGTTTCTTTCATTAAACAAGATTCACCCATGCTCTTGTATCAGTCGCTCATTACTTCCTATTCCTAAGTATCCTACTATCTGAATATATCACACTTTGTTTATTCACATCTGTATCCACCACTGGCTGGACACTAGATCTGTTAAGGGTGAAATCTTTAATTCCATTCATAAAGTTTGAAAGTACAGATTACCTTCGATTTTTATATTCTGTTGGTGCAAGAGTAGAGTGTGTCTCTAAAACATTTTAGCCAAGACATGTATCTTAGATACCTTTATTTAAAGACTCATGTTGGGGTGCCTGGCTGGCTCAGTGGGTGGAGCATGTGACTCTTGATCTCAGGGTTGTAAGTTCAAGCCCCATGTTGGGTGTAGAGATTACTTAGACAAAAAGACCCAGGCATAACATTAATTTTGCTACTTAATATACCCCTAATTTGCCAATGAAAACCTAGCATATGGTATGCTCTCTTATTTAGTAAAGTTTCACATATTGCTCAAGATGTGGATATCTGAATTTTAGTTTCCTGTGCCATGGCTTTCCATTACAATGTAAGCTGATCCCCCCTCTGCAATTTGTTTTCCTGATGAGGATCATTGCCTCTCCTTAGAGTTGAAACTTAATTCAAGTGGCACAAATATATGATATCTTACTGTCTGTGTTAAAAAGTTTTAAGGTAAATGGCACATCCTAACACTTTGATATATAGTTGACCCTTGAACCGCGTGGGGAAGAAGGAAATGTGTGACCACCAACCCCCTGCACAGCATCCCTGACTTTCCCTCTGCCTGGAGTCATTTTCACCTACTAGCTTCATGATACATTCATTCACTTTTTCATAATTTCAGCTCCTAGAGAAACATGTGCACATATGAATATAGAAGAATGCTCAGAAGGGTTTATTGTTGTTGTGTATTTCATAGATTAAAAAAAATCAACCTCTTAATACTTCTTCAATAGAGGAAGGGATGTATAAATGGTGGTATATTCCTAACATGGAAATAATGCAACAGAAGGATATATGTGTGTTAATATAATAAGACCCCTAAGATTTATTACTGAGTTTAGTTTCGTTCTTCCCTTTTAAAGAGAGAGCAAGCTGGGCGAAGGGCAGATGGTGAGAAGAGAGAGAGAGAGAGAGAGAGAGAGAGAGAGAGAGAGAGTCTTAAGCAGATTCCAAGCTCAGCATGGAGCCCAAAATGGGGCTCGACCCCATGAGCCGAAATCAAAACTTGGGTGCTCAACTGACTGAGCCACCCAGACACCCCTATTATTGAGTTTATAAAGCAAGTTACAGGAAGGTATGCACAGTATGTGTCATTTTGTATTAAAAACCTGTAAATAAAACTATATTATATATTTTCTATGGATTCTTATATTTGGGACATGTGTAAAACACCTGGAATCATCAACTCCAAATTAGTGAATAATGAAAAGGTAAAAATTGAGAGTTGTAGTCATAGGGGATTTTAGTCTTTATGTAATGTTTCATTCCTGTAGTAATTCATGCATTCATGAATTCCTCTTAAAATTAACAAGTAATAAGCTATCATAAAGGTTTATGTTTTCCTCTATGCTTCTCATCAAAAAGGCAGAAAAAAGAGAACAATAATTTTCTTCATAAACTTTGTCCAATCACCCCACAAGCAAGTGTTTCTCCCTCCTCTGTGATAATAAATCTTTTAGTTCATTCTCCTCTTAGGGTCCTACTCTTTGACTCTACTCTATTTATGTGTAATGGCCTTCCTGGTAGACTGTAACCTACTGTCTCATCTCTTTTACATATTCTTAACACCTGGTAAATTGCCTCATTTATGGTAAAACTTCAGCAAATGTTTATGCATTTATTCTGCACTAGGTAGAACAACTCAAATAGCACAAGATGAGAATTGCCCAATTGTCTTACGTTATTGTCTTCCATGAAATTCCATTTTATTTTATTTCATTATTTTTAAATATTTTTAATGTTCATTTATTTTTGAGAGAGAGAGAGAGAGAGCAGAGAAGAGGCAGAGAGTGAAGGAGACACAGAATCTGAAGCAGGCTCCAGGCTCTGAGCTGTCAGCACAGAGCCTGATATGGGGCTCGAACCCACTAACTGTGAGATCATGACCTGAGCTGAACTCGGCTGCTTAACCCACTGAGCCACCCAGATGCCCCATGAAATTCCATTTTAAAAGTAGGATTTGGGGGCACCGGGGTGGCTCAGTCGGTTAAGCAGCCGACTTTGGCTCAGGTCGTAATCTCACAGTTGGTGAGTTTGAACCTGGTGTGGGACTCTGTGGCTAACAGCTCAGAACCTGGAGCCTGCTTCAGATTCTGTCTTCCTCTCTCTCTACCCCCTCCCAGTTCATGCTCTCTCTCTCAAAAATAAATAAACATTAAAAAATTTTTTTTAAAAAGTAGGATTGGTTTACTTTTAATCCCCATTCAGTCTAAGCAGTTACTTTGTTTCCTGGTCATCTGCTTCATGAGGAAGCATGGAAGAATGGAGCTGGGGTTGCTTGGTCTGAAGTGGTCTTTGTGAACTGTTCTGGTCCACTAGGGGGCACTCTAGGCTTTAAAAGAAACAAAGATTTTTTTTTTTTGTTTGTTTGTTTTCCCAATAGTAAGAGAGTTGAACAATTATAAAGAACAGAAAACATGTAAGCCAATGAAATTATAGATAGCAAAGGTGGGGGAAAATGGGCAAACATACTTGTGTAAGGTTCATCTCAGATTTTCAGAGTTGCCATTCCATATAAACTGCAAAAAGTTGTAGGCTATTTCTGCGTCAGCCTAGGTGAGAATGATTGTCCGAGCACGGTACGTAAATAAAAACATTTCTGGGTACTCATGAGGTAGCTTAACAGAAAACATCCCCTGACGTGTTTTCAATTTTTAAATTGTTAGGAATAAAATCCCCAGAACCACGGACCTAGAAATTATTTCAATACCCCAGATATCCTACCTTCTTATATATTCTGGGTGAGAATGGAGGAACAAGAATGAAGAGAAGAAGAAAAAAGAACAACAACAAAAAAAAAAGAACAAAAATAGAAGGAAAGGGGGATGACAGAATTTACTCTGACCAGTACTGTGTGGCCTGGCCAGAATCAGCTGTGTGGGTGAGCAGGGTGTCCAAGAGTTACACGGGAGAGGCAGAGAGGTGGAAATTAAATCAGGGTAGACATTATGCAGACACCCTATTTTTCACCAACCAAATTCTGGTTGGAATCATTTTCCTCATCTTCTTTTTTTTAAATGCTTATTTATTGGGGCGCTGGGTGGCTCAGTCGGTTGAGCGTCCGACTTCGGCTCAGGTCATGATCTCGCTGTTTGTGAGTTGGAGCCCTGCGTCTGGCTCTGTGCTGACAGCTCAGAGCCTGGAGCCTGCTTTGGGCTCTACGTCTCCTTCTCTCTCTGCCCCTCCCCCGCTCATGCTCGCTCTCTCTCTCTCTCTCTGTCAAAAATAAATAAACATTAAAAAAAATTTAAATACTTAGTTGGAAGAAACAAAAAAAATTAAATGCTTATTTATTTAATTTAAGAGGAGAGTGCAAACATTAGAGGGCTAGAGAGGGAGAGAGAGAATAGCAAGCAGGCGCCACACTCAGGGAAGAGCCCACCTTGGGTTTGAACACATGGATCATGAGATCATGACCTGACCCAAAATCAAGAGTCATACGGTTTACCACCAAGCCACCCAGGCGCCCTTGGAAACATTTTCTGTGCAGATGGTGACTATATGTCTTGGTTTCTAGAACTCTCCTGATTTCAGGAAATTATTTTTACTTCTGCAAAACAGAATGCATGCTATCAGATAGTTTTCCTTAGTCAGAATTTTCGTATCACTGAATTCTAACATCGTCTGTCTAACTATGCAGTTTGGGAAATGGGTCACTCTTCTCTATGATTTCCAAGGTTCTGTGTAACTCACTGAGACACTAACTCTTCTAGAAATATCATTCACCCTTCCTCAGTCACTAACCCACAAATTTCTCACATAACATGTTTTAAGAAAAATAAAGACCTTAAAAGTGCATATATTGGAAATACCGTCCCTACCTCCCTGCACCGTTGGCAAGCACAGTTTTGGACAGATTGCTCTGCAGTCTCCCTGGGCCGCTGTGGGTGGAGTCTCAGTCCCCGGACTGACAGGGTTCGTGATTGGTGCTCAGTGATTCTGGAGGGACGTGGTGACTGTTGACAACACAACTTCTCTGACCCAAGACTCTACACTCTTCAGAGTAGGGGTGAAGGCACATCAGCGACCAGACAAGGAGTCATGAAGAGACAGCGGGGAGCCCTGCTGGGGCTTCTGTGGGTGCAGGTTTGCTGTGAGTGGGGGCGTCCCAGACGGGGGCTGGGGAGGTTCACAGCCCGCAGTGGAGGGGGAGCTGGCACAGAGCTCCTGCAGGGTCTACACCCTCAGCGGGTGTTCCCGGGAATACTTTATGGGTTTGAAAACTGCCTCAGTGGCTCTGCAGTGACTTCTTTTGTGTTTGGTTTTGTCTTTCCAAGCAGGGGTGAGAGGGATGGACGTGGAGCAGACACCTGCAGCCCTGAGCCTCCAGGAGGGAGCCAGCTCTACCCTGAGGTGCAATTTTTCCAGCTCGGTGAACAATGTGCAGTGGTTCCGACAGAACCCTGGGGGCGGCGGCCTCACCCGACTGTTTTACATAGTTTCAGGGATGAAGCAGGATGGGAGGTTGAACTGCACGGTGAACACTAAGGACCGGCACAGCAGCCTGCACATCAGGGCCTCCCAGCAGGAAGACTCAGCCACCTATCTGTGTGCTGTGGAGGCACAGTGCTCCCTGCTGCTCTGCAGCCTGTCCCCAAACTGCAGCTGGGCTCCCAGCCCAGGCTCCTCCACCAGGAAGCCTCCCTTGTGCAGCCGCATTTGCACAGCGTGCTTGGGACCATCTGGGGCTTTGAAGGCTCAAAGCTGGTGGCGGTAAACCTTGACAATAAATTATTCAAAATGAAAGTGTGTATGTGCACATTGCATAAAGCATATTGGAGGGATGTTAGTTCTTAAAATGTTTAGAATCTCTGGTTTTGGAACTTGCCGCCACATGGGAAAGCAAAGATCCGTAGGCTTTGAAATAGAAATTTAAGATAAAGATAAGAGCCTCAATGGAAAAGAATAACAGTTTCATGAGAAGTGTCAACTGATTCAATAACCGCTCATTAACACAGAAGCTAATTTGAAGTTCATTTTTCTTATAACTTAAGACACAATAAAATACATAGACAAGCATTCTGAATTGTATAGAAATCATGAAGCCAATTTTAGTTTCATAAACATGGTCCTAAAGTTACAGAAAATGTCAGAAAAACCAATTAAATGCTTCCGTATAAATTTAAATTTAAATTCAGATTTACATGAAACTGAATGGTATGTAAAGTCATATATATAAAAATTGTTCCACTAGAAACATCAGTGCTAGATTTACTTTATATTTCATTAATTTATCAGATACCTATGCTAATTTTCTCATAGCATATGAAACAGTCTTTAAGATCTGTTGCACCAACAGAAATATTCCTCTCAAAATTAAAAATTATCAAAAATTTCATTTGCAGTATTACATTTACCAACAACTACATTGTTATATCGATTGAAATGAAGTTACTAAAAGTATAAATTTTGATAACCTAATAATTAATTTGGAGAAAGCAACCTAGAAAAATATTATTATAGTACACTACCAAAGTATTATTGGGTTTTTTTTAGGGTTTGGTATGTTTAATAACTTGTATATGTTTATTATATTAATATTTTTATATATTAATATACATTTGATTTTTTTAATGTTTATTTTTGAGACAGAGAGAGACAGAGCATGAATGGGGGAGGGTCGGAGAGAGAGAGAGAGGGAGACACAGAATCTGAAGTAGACTCCAGGCTCCGAGCTGTCAGCACAGAGCCCGATGTGGGGCTTGAACTCACAAACCAGGATATCATGACCCGAGCTGAAGTCAGACGTTTAACTGACTGAGCCACCCAGGCACCCCTACATTTGATTTTTTTACAGTTTGTTTATTTTGAGAGAAAAAGGGGGGACAGAGGGAGAAAGAGAGAGAGAATCCCAAGCAGGCTCTATGCCCAGCACGGTGCCAATGAGGGGCTTGAGGCAAGCTCTGACCCTCGACAGTGAAATCATGACCTGAGCCCAAGTTGATAGTTGGATGTTTAATCTACTCAACCACTCAGGCTGACTTTTTTAAAGACAGTTTTATATTTTATTACATAGTTTAATTTTTTTTTCTTTTTAAACATGGGGCCACAAATTTTCTGTTTCATTGCATATCGCCAATTATATAGCCAGCTCTGCCTGGGAAGTTTGAACACCCAAGTTAAACTGGAATAAGGGAACTAGAAGCCAGAAAGCAATCAGGCTGTATGAGAAAGTATTTGTTGCTTTACATATGTTTGAGTAAGCTCATCCACCATGGAGCCAACCCCATCTCACTGCCTGTGGTAAATTTTATACAGAGTGAGTAAAGTTCCATTTTATTCCATTTTTTTCCCCCTATAGATTGGGATCCTCCTTGAACCATCTTTGGTCTCCCAGAAGAAAAGAAAACCCAAAGAGGATCTTACCCTGAAGACTCTGTCTCTGCTTCTGAAGAGGCCCTAGCATTGGTTAGGAGCAACCTCAGACCCACAAGATCACATGTGGTTGTGGAAACGGGCTTGGGGTTCCATGATTCAGGCAATTTCTCCTCACACTCACATCAGTCCATACTGCTCACAGCCAGTCCTCAAAAGACTTGCTTTGTTATATAGTACAAAAGAAATTTAGAACTGGAAGAGCCCTTAGAAGGGCTTAGTCCACTTCATTTTACAAAACAAAGGCTGTACCCAAGATGGTACCATGGAACAATTAGGTTGTCAGTGAGCTGGGAGAGAAAGAAACTGAGTTTCCTCACTTCCTCTTTGGCATTCTCCCCACTGCCTCCTTGCTGCAGGGCCATCCTGCTGGGTAAAGAGATTGTGTCTAATGCAAGCCCAGCCACTTATATCTCTGCAGTTTGGGTCTGGGAGAGCCATGGTCCAATCAGTTTGATTGCCTGAATGGAGAGTTGCAATTTGTGTAAATATCTGACACTTTGGGCAGGAAAAAGAACTCAGGCTGAGCCACTGTTATTCTACCTGCAAACTTACTTATTCCTCACTGGTTTCTGGAGGTGAAAGCCAAGGATGATTGTGTCAACTGAACACCTCCATGCATTTCTAAGGACTTTCCTAAAAATAGCAGATATATTTATATCCCAGGTGGACATCTCTTGAAGGCAAAATGTGAATATAGAGCATCACTAATACATTGTTATGAAATGTAATCACTGCATTGGGAGACTACGGGGGAATATCGTCCTCATGCAGCTGGCCATCCATGAATGTACTAGAAAAAGCCTTGCTAGGTCTACACTTTTTGATGATGAGTCAGGCAACATTCAATGAAATAATCACGGGGCTATGAGTTTTGCCCAAGAAATGATTATACTTGTGCTACAGCTCATATATAGGACATTATGCTAAATAGAGCATACTCATACTATAACGTTCAGTTCTGGATAACATAACTCAAAAGGGAAAATATTGACTTAAAGTATATGTCTCCAAGAAGAGAGAAATTCACCCAAAGAAGGTTTTGGGAATTCTATCCTATGGAGGAGTATGGATGAGTAAAATGAGGAAGAATCTTAGAATGGAGAAAATTTACATATGTAAAAACACACAATTTATATTTACAGACAAGTTTATATGTTGATTTTGATTCTTCATCAGAGTTGTCCCTAAATTTTTAAAGGTGTGGAATGTGATTGAGGATTTTTTTTTCTGCCTAATTTCAGAGGAGTAGTGAGTACAATCCTTAGGAAAAGGGCTTCCACTTAATGTAGGTGAGGCAGTCTTGATTTCCCTAGGATCTGTTCTCATGATGAGTAGTCTACTTGTACTACTCCCCTGGGCAGCCATGGCAATATTTAGGCTTCCCTAGATTGTCTTCATTACATTGTAATTGGAGAATATCAAACTATTAAAGTAGATGAGAAAGGATTTTTGCCAGAAAGGGATAATTCTGGAAATCTACAGGACAAAGAACTTTATCAGTGTCTTTGGAACACTGTAGTGGAGTTTGGGAGAAAAATGGCAAAGTATGGAATCTGAGGACTCGCCAAGGCAGCAGAAATCTACGCTAGGAGAGTTGGCTTACACGTTAGAGGAACCTCTACTAAGGATTTGAGTCACTTACTACATTTTGGATCTGGCACCGTTTTGATATCAGAAAATAAAAGCATCTGTAGTATAAATGGCGACATATTTTGGATCTGAAACCGGATATGTTGTGAGAATTTCCATTCTTTCCCCCAATACTTTGCAGTATAAAATCCTTGTAGCAATAGGAATAGATTTCTGAGAGCATGTCAGATTTCCCATCACAAATAACCAAGTCAAAATGTTTCCTAACTCATGGACTTGTCCCCCTGCTCCTTTATCATTGACATTTTTATGACAGTCATATTAACTGACAAAGATTCCGCATTTTGACTGCTGGTAATGTCACTTCTCTGGAAATTGCCAGGTCACAGGCAAGACCAGCTCAGAAGAGCAGCGTCTGAGATAAGAGGCATTTGAAATATTTATTCTTTGGCTTACATGTTCCTTTTAGGAAGAGCTTTTCTCCATAACAGACAAATGAAGCTGGTAGATTTGGCAGAAACGGAAGGTTTTCTATGTTCTTTGTTTAAGACAGTGAGTCATGATTCCTTCCTCGTTTCAAACATGTACACGAGGCCCATCATTGAATAAACAGCAACAGGATCTACTCTTTTGAACTTAACAGTGACTCAGTAGTGTGCAGAGGTATAAATCTTAATGTTTACATTCTTCCTGTGCATCTAGTCTCTGGTCTAGGATGTAATTTGTTTGACGTATTGCTGCCATTATGCGTCTGAGACCCTCAGAGGCACGGGGTAGGGGAAGGTTTTCCCCAGTGAGTTCAGTACAGACGTGACCACAGGAGGGTGCACCTGAGCTGCCGCAGACCAGGCGGAGGGTCCATGGTAGAGCATTTGCATGAGTTAGGTCTGGCAGAAGCACAGTCGTCTCCTTATTGGCTGGTGGACACGTGGGAAACCACTCTGACTGATGCAGGAAAGAAGGGCGGGCCGGTACTAGAAGTAGCTGTGCTGGCTGGAGGTGGCAATTCTGAAAGTGATCGTAATTGTAATTGGGAGGAACCATGAGGACATCCGAGGGGGCTTTCATCACGCTCTTGTGGCTGCCACTGCACTGTGAGTTGAGTGTTTATGAGAAACAGAGTAATGAGTGGATAGTCTTCAGCAGTCAAGACTGGCTTTACTCAGGTTTCCTCCAGGTAGTGGAGAAAAGGGGGATTCTGAAGCACAATAACGCGGGACCTGCTCTCCTTTCTTTGACCTTTTCTTTCTGCACAGGGCTCAGCCGAGGAGAGAATGTGGAGCAGAGTCCTTCCACCCTGAGTGTCCAGGAGGGAAACAGCTCTGTTATCACCTGTAGTTACTCAGACAGTGCCTCAGACTACTTCCCCTGGTATAAGCAAGAACTTGGAAAAGGTCCCCAGCTCATCATAGACATTCGTTCAAGTGTGGCCAAAAAAGAAGACCAAAGACTCACTGTTTTACTGAATAAGACGGCCAAGCATCTGTCCCTGCACATCGCATCCGCCCAGCCTGCAGACTCAGCTGTCTACTTCTGTGCAGCAAGTGCACATTGCGTCCCAGACACCTGCTGCCTGCACCCAAACCTGTGACTGGGCAACCCCTGTCCTTTGACACAGAACTTCAAGTAGATCGTTTGTGCTATTGTTTGCCTGCAGGTGGAAGCTAATGTGTTAGACATTAAAGCATAACTGAAGACAACTGGGATCGAGATGACCCAGACAGGGTTAGAACATTTCGTTGAATCATTGCTGCTTATTGGATTTTTGAAGGGAGTAGTAAGGTTTTATTTTGCAATTCAGGTTTAAAGCTGATTTACATTTGTTGTTCAGACTCCTGTCATACAAACAACTTCTTGGTAAATTGTCACATTCCTGTCATGCATTAGCTTTCAACTCTTATCTTTCCAGTACTTCAGATGTTGCTTTTGTTCTGTTATAAAACATTGTGTGCTAAATATAGAAAATATGTAAAAAGCAAAGTGTGAAATTGATAATTGTGTATCCAGCTAATTTATTATCAATGTTTCATTTACTCTCTTCTTAAATTCTAATGTAACTTGGATTCTGATTTTTTCCATTCAATGTTATATCCTGAATTGAGCATTCTCCTCTAACACCTGATTTTTAATAGCTCCGTGAGAGATTTTCACAAGTCACAGTAATATTTTTAATTTTTTTCCTCTTCTGTCTTTCTGGCAATATGTGGCAGTCCTTTCTGTGTGTTCTGAATATTTTCTTCTCGAGAAAATGTGAGTTAGGATTTTCTTGAGAGCCCAGTGATGGTATGTGTGTTATGTATATTTGAGGAAAATTAAAAGCAGAAGAGATTTGTCAAGAATTTGAATTGAGAATTAAGACTCTTTTCAAAACTTTGTTAGTATTTTTTCACATCTACAATCATATAATTTAGAAAGGAAAGTTGTATCTTTCAATCATAATTATACAGCACAAACTTTTTTTACATAGTTGATCATCAATAGATGTTTATTAATGGAAGAAGGAAAAGGTGAATTCTGCTATATATTTAGAATTTTTATTTAAGCTTGTGAGTAAATTAAATTTATAAGTTGACTTGTGAAAAATAAGCTCCTAAAAGTCTGTATTTGGTTATTGAAGAACATAGTGTTTCCTTCTGTTTACCTATGTGTTTTTCAATAAAGCTCCATTGTTTTAAGGTAAAGAAACTTACTCCTAGACATTTAATTTTTATTGTTCCTAATGATTGGAATCTTTATTCCTGGGATATGTGGGCAAAATTATTATATATATTCATCATGCACCTCACCTAAGTATTCTTAGTGGATTGCAGAAGGCATTTAGATTAACATTTATTGTAGAGATAGCTTGCTACAAATTTCCCTATCTTAGCTTCATATTTTGACTGAGTTAAGCATTACTTGTGCAGCGTTTTTAAAAAGTAATTCTTTTAGTGGGGTGCCTGGGTGGTTCTGTTGGTTGGGCGACCAACTTCAGCTCAGGTCATGATCTCATGGTCTGTGGGTTTGAGCCCCGAGTTGGGCTCTGTGCTGACAGCTCAGAGCCTGGAGCCTGCTTCGGATTCTGTGTCTCCATATCTCTCTACTCTTCCTCCCCTGTGTTATATCAAAAATAAATAAACATTAAAAAAAAATTTTAAAGGGAATTCTTTTAGTGTTGAAAATAGAATCAATATAAGGAAAGAATTTGCATAAATAATTATTTTCCTAATTCTCCCACCCCTACTCAATAGCAGGCTATTTTCAAGACATCTCATATTCTTCCTAAAGATGGATACAATTGATGATTCAGTATGGTGAGAATGATCCCTCTTGGCTGAGTTATGGTGGTCAGTTATAAGCTAACTGGTTTGTTGTTGTAGGGAAAGTCATTAGGTTAAATTAGGTTTAAAATATCTGAATAAGAAAGGTCAGTATTGTAGCCCAACACCTCAGTCAGCTTGGATTATTTGATTATATGGTTATACACCAGCTCCTGTGCAGTAGAAGGAAGGCGACTCTTGATTGTTCCATTTCCTCCAAGCCTGATAAGGAGTCAGAGGGAAGGGCAGTTTATATTTTAATGTTTTCTTTCTTCTTAAACCAAGTTAGAAGAGAGAGGGTGCAGTTACTCTTAGCTCAACTGCTTTCTCATACTTAGGCGAGAATGTATTCAACAGAAGAAAACAAAAAGCTAGTCAGAGTGCAGAGTCAGTTCATAGCCTAGATCCAGATACATTCAGGCTTTAAAACTTCATTATGGATGGTGGATTTGTTACCACTGCCTCTGGACGATGTATATCACAGGCTTTATCACAGAAATTCTTTCTGCCTTTGTTCTGAAGGCCAGAAGTTGAATTTATTTCACTGGGATGATATCATGATGCTAACAAGGCTGTACCCCCTCCAGACACTCTAGGGAGACATGATTCCTTGTCTCTTACAGCTTTGGTTGCTGCCTGCATTTTTGGCCTATGACCACTTCACTCTAACCTCTGCCTCCATGGTTTCATTGATGTCTCTTTTTCCTGTCTTCAAAACTCCCATTGCTTCCTCTTAAAACTATACATGTGACTGTATTTAGGCCCACATAATCCAAGATTATCTCCTCATCTGAGGATCCTTAACTTAATCATATCTTTAAGTTTGTGTTTATTTTTTTTTCTCCTCCATTTTCCACCTGATGTTTATTTATTTATTTCTTTATTTATTTATTGTCCATTATTTTGCCTCTCACAGTTGGCATGGCTGGTGCTTTGTTTCCTAAGCTGAGAAAATAATATACATCTTAGGCA